ACAGGCTATGAGTTTTGTGCAGTTCTGAAGTACATACATTACCTGTGTGTTACCTGTGTACATTTGTGTTACCCTTTTTTATCCAGCAGAGTGTATGCACCTGTGTGTGTGTACCTACCTGTGTGTATACGGGATGAGCAGGGAGAAGAGAAGGAAGTTGGCAGCTCCCTGGTCCTCGCTGGTGTGGAAGAACAGTTCGAGCACTGAGGGATCCTTGACCAGAGCCATGCAGAGCTGGTTCAGCAGGAGGACTAGCTCCGCCTCCACCACGCCGCCGGTGTCTGCAGGGGGCCACAGGTGATTAAAGGGTCAGGTAACCAATTAAACGTCTTACTGGTTAGTGGTTACACCTCCAGCTTGAGAAATGACCTCATAATTAACCACTTAAATCCATTTTGATGTAATTAGACAGCTAAACCAACTGCAGGACTGGGTGCAGAAAGAGTTCAAGTAAAGATGAGGGGAAAAGAATCACCTAATTTGAAATACCATTCTTTGTTTGCTGTGGTTACACTGTGTGTACTGGTGCTTTTATTTTTCACAGTATCTGCATGTATGTATATATATATATATATGTATATATATATATATATATGTATACACTTGATGCCAAACTGTCAGTGTTAGGAGAAGAGGCATTTAGTTTATATGGAGTGCATCCTGATGTGAGAATATATACAGCATTACATTCTACTGCACCATGAAATATACTGTTGCCTACAGTACTGTGCAAAAGTCTCCCCCATTTCTCTGTATTTTGCTTCCATGTAGTCACTCTTTAATGGTAATTCTTAAGGAAGGCAAAGAGGGAGAAAAGGCGGAGGTATGCTGAATTACATAAGAAGCAGAATGAAAATTAGTGGCGACAGGTCTCAGTGATAAATCTGAATTGATGAGGAGGCTCTGGTTTGGGGCTGAAATCTTGTCAAAAGTAAAAGTGCAGAAAAGTACGGTGGTTTCCCAGTTCAGGCTGTGTTCAAGAATAGACATGATAACACCAAATATTGACTTTCAAGCTCATCAGAATGGTTCTAACCCTGTTTTTGCCTCATATATTAGATTCATTTTAAGCTTGCACGTATTTTCCTGCCAAAACATAAAGAAACGAGGGGAAACTTGAGACTTTTCCACAGTACAAAATGCTCCTCCTCCTCCTGCTTGAGTAGGCTACAATGAACAAAGAAAACTAGGCTATACATTTGTTGACAATAAGAAAAGAATCATCCAAAGATTGTGCATAAAGAGATAAAATACGGGTGCTTGAAGCAGCCACGTCTCACGGATGCATTAGTTCAGATACAGAGCACCGAGGCCTCTGTCGACTTCACAATCGAATGAAATACAGTGTCACCATGTGCTGACATTGGTAAGAACTCTTCTTATGCGTCATAAAGAACTGTTTCTTGTTGGATTCTTCTGACAATTTCACAAAGCAAAGTCTCTTTGCAACTAAATGACCGTGTTATCCTCCATTTTTATGGCTTCACAGATTTAATCAATGAATACACTTTATTTCACATGCTGTAAATGAATTAGTCCACTGATGGTTACACCTCTAACGATGTAAGCATCACTTTTATATACTGACTGGATGAGTGCTTTTGAATTTTACCATTTCGAACAAAAGAGGTTATGCTGTTCATGAAGTAATCAAAGTAAAAACAATAAAACAGTGCATTTAAATGTGTGTGTAATATTCCCATTTGGCATTTAAAACGATCTGCAACGTTACAGTCTCTGTTCTAATCAGTCACAACTCATTTCCACTTCTTTCTGCTTTT